TATATAAATTTGACTTTCCAGGGCACTTTAACAGTACTCGTGTGTGCCAATGTATCTAAAACTGTTTCTTGCTTTTAATTTTCAAGCTTTTGAGTATATTGAGACAGAAAATATGAGAAAACAACTCTGAACAGAGAGTTGGTATCAAAAGAACCAGACATACTCTTAATAATGTAGCAGGATCTCATTAATTTTGTGTCCGACAGACTTTTTTTTTGGTTTAAATTAGGGAAAATATGTAAAACACACAGATTTGTTTATTTTGTTAAGAAAATATCTATCTTCTCTATTTGGAGGACTGTATATGCCTGCCACTGGGGATCAACAGGGAAGAAATGGTTTACCCTCATAGAACCTGCAGCTTATTAGGACAGAAGGACATTAGTTGAATGATCATGCAATGACGTAGTAAGAACTGTGAAAGGTATCATCTTTGTGTGCAGTGGGGTTGGGTGATAGGCTGGAGGCTCGTGGGTAGAGGGGTTTGCAACAGTTTGGGAGGGTAGAAACGTCTACCATTTTGTTTCATCTAATATTTGAAGAATGGCAAGCTGTTTTCAGATGCACAGTAAAGGATGTGGTGGTGAGGACAAGGTTTCTATGAGTTTTCTAGATAGAATAAATAACAGCATGTTTCTGTATTCTTCAAACAAAGCCTTTCCCTGAAACTCGGGCTAGCTCTACTTTCTGTGCCTTTTCAGTAAAGCCTCTACAATTATAAATTTAACACTACCTCACTCTTCCATTGTATTTCCCGTGTTCTTATAGGGCTAGACTAGGCAAATTAAGTTAAATTCAGATTATTTTGCTACTTCTTATGTAGCAATAAAAGGCTCAATGGAAGAGTTGTGTGAACTGAGCTGCCGAAGCCATGTGAGTGTTACACCTCTTCTTCCCAGGGCCAGTGTCTCCCTTCATGCTTCTTTCCCAATCCTTATGCCTAAGTGGGCAAAGGTAAACCAGTAAAAAAAAACCATGAAAAGCTCCTTTGATTACACACTTCTTCTAAGGAGTGATAAATTTCATAATTATATTCAGGGAGGGATCTTCTATTTCTCTGGATTTGCAGGCTACTTCCATTTTCCAGCGCTTTCTGAAGATCTTCTATGAGGATCCTGGATTTGAAATAATAGACACAATGAAAAGTAAATTAAGGTAAAAGGAAAATCAGGCAATTCCAAAATATAGCATCACACGTGACTGAATAAAGAAGTAGCACAAAAGTGTTCCAGTGTTTCATGATGTGGATGGAAAAAGGACTGCCAAGTTTGACATTTCTAAAAATAATAAATGTTGAGAAAACGTTCTTTTTCAGGAAATAAAAACTGCTAAGTAAATGACAAATTTAAAGTGTAAAACTATAGGTAGATGTCCTCAAATAATAGTAGTACTCCACTAATAACTACTACTGAGCATCTAGGATTAATGATGCTTTGAGCACTTATATTTACTTAGCAGAAGTGAGGAACCATGCTACACATTTCATGCACACAATCTTAATTCATTAACCTATGTGGTAGATTCTACTAGTATCTCCATTTTATAAGTGGGGAATTTGAGACTCAAAAGGATTAAAATTTTGCCAATGACATTCCGGTGTCAAATTCCAGAGCCAGGATTTGAACTTGGAATGCAGACCCAACTTCTTGTGACTCCACCTTCAGTGTGATTTAATGAAAACTGAGCCTCTACTGCTCTTCTCCTCCCTCCCTTATTCTCTTTCCTTCTGCTTCTATCTACTCACATTTGCTTCTTTACCAAGAGCCTATTTTCAGGTCATCACCAAGCACATTTGGGCCAAGACACAGAGAAAAGAGGAAAAGGACAGAAGGAGCTATATTCTCAAGTGGAAACTGAAGAAGTACCAGCTGAAAAAAAGTTATTTTGCTGCCAGTCTATATAAAAGATGCCAAGAGAAGGAAAGGCCCAGCTAGTCACATAAATGCATTGGAAACTGGAGGTTGAGCTCAGGGTGGGAATGAATGCCAAGCTCATTCAGTGGGTGGAACCAACTGCAGCTAGAGTGTGGCTTCATAAGATTCATGTCACCCTTAATGAGAATGCCATGAAGGAAGAAGGCACTTCATTCTCATACAATATTTAAAGATGTAAGATAGCCCTCAATGATGTTCCTGGGCTGACAGGTGGCTGAAAAACTTTGCTATCATGTTTTATCTTCCAAAAGAACTTGTTGCTTGGTTTAAGTGCTACTAGAATAACATGAGATAGCATCTCTGAATGACTTACAAGCCTAATCTATATAAGCCAATTAATTAAAAAGATTATCTTGAGTCACTCAAATGAATACTTTTTACTCCAAGAAGGAAGAGAATTTATTTAGAGCTATGGTGGGTATATAACAAGTTCTTTTTGACTTACTTGCTATTTATTACCTTCTGCAGACAAAGCACTAGTCAGCACTTGAACATTAGTTTATTGCTCAATTTTCTACTTTAAAATTGGAAAGAGTTTGAGAATCAAGATGAAGTGAGGTGCAGAAAGCTTAGTAAATTTTCTTGGCAGCTGCTTGCAGTGGCTTAAAATGTGAGTGGAACATTAAGTTGTCAACCAAAATAACATAAGTATTGGCATTATTTTCCTTCCCAGTGGCAAGAAATTACATGATGAGGTGCCTGGGCTGAAGAGCTTTACAATAGTGCTAAGGCAGGTGTCAAGAGCCAAATGGGTTCTATGTCAATGTCCAAGCTTTGTTGTACTACAAGAGAACCTGAAATGTTCAGAAGGATGTGGGTTTGGGTAGGAATGAGGTGGTTGTAAGCTTTCTCCACATTCCAATTATGACAGGTAATTTCAGGCATGTTTCCCTCCTGGGACTATTTCTCCTGGCTACTCTCTTCTTTCTCAGGAAATAAAGGAAAAACAGTAAGATAGAGTTGCCCAATTTGGCAATTTCACAAACATCTTCTAAATGTCCAGTTTAAAAGGTTTATTGTATTTTGTTACAGCAGCCCCAGCACACTCATGCAGGCTCAGTACCCTAGACTGTACCCCAATACAAGCTCCAAGAGGCTGAGCTTATAATTAAAACAACTATATTGAAAAACATGGCCCACCCTCATTTTCTTTCTCCAACAGTTTACCAGAATATGGATGATGAACTGTGAAATAGAGCATCAAAATGATCTTTTAAACAGTTGTGTTTTCTTAGTTCCTTACAGTTGGTTAAGATTCTTACCCAGCTGGGTACACTCGTATGACTAGAGGTACTGAAAACTTTCCAAGAGATGTCATCACTCAGTGCAAAACTACCATCTCAAAGCTTCCAAGGTAGTGAAGTGTCATCAAAAATGGAAATTTGATTGCCAAGTTTCAGCCATTTTTGAAATGCCTGAATTAACGGCAGAATGAGTCATCTCATGGAGAGGTGTTGACCACCTAGGGGCCATATACATAGGGTCACATTATCTCTGCTTTATAGTTCACTGTAGTGATACATTATACATAGTCGTACAGAACAAATGATAATCTTTTGAAAATACCTCAGGCTACAATAATAAAAGTCAGTGAAAAGGATCTCTACCTGCTATGCCTGTGGAATTTAATTGACTCTTACATGTTATTATCTTGGGAGCAACAAAATGAGTAATTCTAAGTGATTGTTCTTCATGAGGAGAAAACTGATTTAAAATACTCATTTTTTTTAGACTTTAGACTCTGTGACATGAAGTGTGATATTTTATTCTATATTGGTTCCACATGACCTATATTTAATGGCAGAAAATAGAGACTTGTTAAAATAACTGGTATTTTTTTTCCTACTGAACAATAATTAACGAAGCATGTGAGTTGTTACTGGGTACCTATAGATATAATTGCCAGGTTCTTTCTTGCCAGGCATTCACAGAATCAGAGCATGCATTCAAAGCTACAGCAAAGACTAAAATGTATCCAATATGAACAATAGTTTTATGCATAGTGGTGATTATATTTAGAAGCAAAGCTGAACTACCTTTCTACAGAAAGCATATCAGTATTTTAACAAGGCAGCAAATGTCCTTTTGGCAAGGCAGTGTTTGTGTGAACCAGGATGCCACTGCCATTTGCACCCTGTGGTACAGGCTTTCAGAAGGTGCAGGCCCCTTACAGTTGACTCTCGGGGGCATCAGGTCACTCAGGTGTCCCGGTACACCAGGGGCCATCTGCCAGTTTTGACAGTATAATGACCTGTTAACATTTTGGTGTAGTTGAGAGTAGTTATTTACAGTTTTGCCTCTCAGCCCTGAAATCCTAAGAAATGGATTCCCAATGAAAGGAAAGCCATTCCTTTCCGTTTCGTTTGTCCATCACACTACTCTTCCTCTTTCCTGGTCCTCTGCTAGTCCTCTTCTCTCCACCATCCCTCTTTCCTGTGCACACTCTATTCCACTGTTGACAAACTTCCAATGTCATCCTCTGTTCAGAGGACTATCCATTTCATATTCTTGGACTTCATATTCTTCCACTTAAGTCAATTGGAAATCTGACTCTTATGACATACTTTCTTTTTGGCTATCTCCACACTCTCTTCCTATCTAATATGGACCAAAAGGGAGGGAAGTTATTGTTCTCCTGGAATCTTATCTCTGCTTCTGCACTGATCTTCTAACTTCCAGGAAAATCTCTTCTTCCTTCTTTGTGGTGCAACTCACTGTTACCTTTCTTTAATTCTTGGCTATACTCTTGACCTATGCTCTTGTCACCAACAAAGGAGATTCAAAAATGTTGTCATTCTCTAGTGATTTAGACCTGCTTCCCCTCCTCCTCTCCTTTCCCCTCCCCCTCTCAGTGTTCATATTGAAAAAAATCCTTAACTCTGTATCAGAACTATCTTCTGTCTTCTCAGAAGCAATGAGTTTTATTGGTTTTCACCTCATATTTTCCCCAACAATAGTTTTCAAAACCTGTTTTGCAAAAAATGCTTGGTAGATAATCATGCTTACCCCACTTAGAAAATCTCCAGCTATTATCTTCAATTTATAATTTTTTCTTTGCAATTTTTTTTGGTTTTGCCTTTTTGAGACAAGTTTTCACTACATAGTTCAGGCTGGCCTTGGACTCACTTTGTAGCCCAGACTGGCTTTGAACTCATAGCAGTTCTAGGGCTGGCTAGCTAGCTCAGTGGACTAAAGTGCATGCTTAGGCAGAGCACATCAGCCAGGGTTTGATCCTCAGTGTGCCATGCTGGCCTTGCCCCCAAGGCATGCTGATATGGCGACTGAGACTGGGCATGGTGGTATGCACCTGCAATCCCAGCACTTGGGAGGCTGAAGATAGGAGAATCACTACAAGTCTGATCTATGTAGTGAGACCCTGTAGACCCTGTGCCAAATACATTTTTTAAAAAATGCTGAACTCATAGAAGCCCTTCTGCCTCAGTCTTCTGAGTGCTGGGATTAAAGGTATGGGCCAGCACATCCGGCCTTTCTTTGCAATCTTCAGCAGACCCACTTTTACTTCTTCAGCCTTAGAGGACAAGGTATCCTTCTTATTCTTCCAACTCACCCCTCCACCTGTGCATTGTCTGGTATTATCACCGTCTCCTTCCTCTAAAGATATGCCAGAATTTCCCCCCACTGGGACAAATATCCAATCTTCTAAGCAGTCGGTCCCAGGGGTGAGGAAAGTGCCTAAGATGGATTTTGTGATGTCAAAGGCTATATCTCCCCTTCTATTCTTCCATCGACGCTTTCTCTGCCTCCTGGATGCCTTACGCTGAGCAGCTTTCCTCTGCAACGCCCCCTCTGCCATTCTGTCCTACTTCTGAGCCAGAGCAAACTGTGGACTGAAATCTATACAAACTGTGATCCAAAACTTATCCTCTCCTCCTCTAATTTGTGAGTATTGGGTATTGTGTCCTAGTGATAAGAAAAGTAAAGACACAGTCATCGATGCCACATCTTTTTGTGCTCATGTATTCTCTGCCTCTTTCCTTATTCTAAAGGCTAAGAGCTGTAGTTTTCTCTCAGTTCTGACATTCTACTTACTTCTCTATGTGCTATTCCTAACCATCATGTGTTGTTATTAGTATTAATAACACAATTTTCATCACCAAATCCAAAAGAGGAGGTTAGTCTCTTTCTTGCTGGGTGCAATGTGACGCTTGGCTTTGGGTACCATTTCTTCTCTTGAGGTCTTTCCTTCTTTGACTCCTGTGAGTACCTAGTGCTTGCTGTTTTCTAATTGTTCTATTTCTTTAAATAAGAACACCTAAAATATCCAATCCATTCCAATCTGTTTACACAGTGAAATTCTCCAGAATATAAAAAAAACTGAGACATTTGCAGCTTCACCCTCAACAGCAAGTGGTGAGTCCAGGTAGTTTTATCATTGAAATATTTTTTGAATGCTCTCCTGACTCTACTATTCTGGTCCTAACTTAGGGCCTTGCCATCCCTTACCTGGACTCCTACTGTTATTTATTACTGGTCCTCTATCCTACAGATGTGTGGCTTCTTGCTTATACCATCCAAGGGGGCAGCACCACTCACAAGATCAGGTCTGGGATCCTCCTTCTGCTCTGACAGCTTTCTACCAACTGGCCTTCTCTGGCTGATATGACTCCTGCTGAAAGCCTTTGCCTTCCATGCTTTCTCAACACCCTCTAGGCATTACGAGCTTGCTCCCCTTTCTTCACACAGAAGTGGTAATGGGGAAATGGTTTGTGAATGTCATATCTCCTAGCTTCCATTCGATGAATAAGCCCTTCAAAGGTGACTAGAGTCACATCAGTTTTCTCATAATGAAAAATGAAAACACTCATAAGCACTTGAATAATCTTAATTCAATGGTCATTCAGGTCAATTTAGTACAGATAAATTTGGTAGCAAGCAAAAAAGAATTCTTACTTGTATTTGATGTTGGCTTCCTGGAAGAAGGCTAACAGGCCCTGGGAAGCTTTTTGGGGAATATGGACATCGGTCACTGTCCCCTCTGACACATAGACAATACTGCTGGGCTGCCACAGGTCCACCTGTAGTGCAGGAACCAACCTGTAATTTACATTCAATGTAGGTGGGGAAAGATCCATGTCACAATGTCACATGTTTTATCTTGTTTAAGTAAAATGTCATCAGACACGTTTTTGGGATTAGACTCAATGTTTATAATGTGAGGGTAAAACTTGTGTTTGATTTTGAGTTTGGGCTTTAAGTTTTATCATATCCTTACACAATTTGATCTTAATTTACAAGTAATAGTTTGAAGACTAACTCAGTTAAGCTACATGATAAAAATGAATAAAACAGTGTTAATTATAACTTTGATATTGTTTTAAAGGTATTATTGTGTAAACATTTGAATAATAGAGAGAGAGAGAGAGAGAGAGAGAGAGAGAGAGAGAGAGAGAGATTATCTTTTATCCTGCCACACAAGCAAAGTGATAGCATCAGTCACTTTTATCTTTAGTTCTGGAGATTAAAACTATGTCCTTGTGTATACTAAGCAAATGCTCTGTCAGTGACCTCCATTACCAACTCACTTTTTGACAAATTTAAATGGAATATTTTCTAGGTCGCTTCTTCTCTTCCAGCTCACACCTTTCTATAATTTCTATTCAGTCTTCACATGCCAAAAAGAACCTCCCTTTTAGATAGGCTTTGAAAGGTAGGGTAGGTCTGCTTACCATAGTTCCTAGAATTCTCATAATGTATTACTTACCTTTCCTTCACCAGAATGGAAGTTCCATGAGGGCCAAGGATTTGTGCATTTGGTTATTACCAAGAACAGTACCTTGTGCCTATTAGCAACTCAGTATTTGTTGCTTAAGTGTAGATCTGGCCCTTGTAGTTGTTTGTTACATATCCACTATGTGTTCAGTATTTTGTAGGAAAGTAAGACATATTTTTCTACCATACTTTAGTGTTTCTATTGCCTTGGTCAGTGTTTGTTCCTGGTAGAGGCTCTGCTTCATCAAAAGACTACAAGAGGGGCTGGCGAGATGGCTCAGTGGTCTAAAGCACCTACTTGGAAAAAGCTTGGCAAAGCACAGGGACCGCGGTTCGATCCCCCAGCACCACATGCCAGCCAGCCTCTCCCCCTGGTGGGCTGAGCTGGCCACACACACACACACACACACACACACACACACACACACACTAAATAAATAAATGTTAAAAAAAAAGACTACGAGACAGCAGAGAAGGAGGCACACTTTATCTTTTGCAGGAGCTTAGAGTCCATTTCCAGTAAGTACAACTGATCTTTATGTCCCCACCCCATCCCTTTCTCTTTGGGCCTCCCTCTTCCTGTGTCTTGTTCTTAGTCTTTCTTCAGGGACTTGATGTTTGCTAAGCCCTTATCTGATAAGGTTTGGTACTTTTGCTTCTGTTAGGTGTCACTTTAGAGAAATACCTCCTACCTTAAGAAAATGAATGTTTAATAGTACGATTTCATCTGGAAGAGGATATTCAGGCTTTTATTTTGTGGGCAAAAAGCCTGCCCATTTTCTTTTAGGGCAAATGACTCACTAATTTACAAGGGCAAATCTGACTCAGCTAACCAGCCAGTCTCTGATCATAGGAAAACAGAAGCGTGGGAATGTAGGGGATGCTGAGAGGTCATTTGATCCATCTGTCAGCCCTTGGGCAAGGACACATCTAAGTCTGCACCAAACTGTCCCTAATAGATATGCCTAAACAATGTCTCTTAAGTTTCCAAAAGGAGGAAAGTTGATAGCATCCTAATTTAACGATATACACATTTAGCAAGATTGTCAGACATGTTTCTAAATCTTTAAGCTGCAGCACAGCTTCATTCTTTGTCGTGTTTCATTACTTAGTGAGAAAAGCCTGTTTTCTTGCCTTCATAAGATAAAATGTGTTGCTATCTTTCACTTTCCTTTGTACAGTAGATTTTAATACTGATGATTAAATTCATCATTAGGTCTTTTCTCTAAGCCCACGACAGAGGTAGATTTTTGATATTAAGACTAACAGTATGCTGTTAATGGATACAAGAAAACTGTCCTATATTCAAGGAATAGAGAGTGACAAGTGCCTTAAAAATATGAATTTTAGGCATCCTGGAGATGAATACTATTCTCTGAAGTATATGCTAAAATAATGGTCCTTATCTTGCAGGAGAAAGTAGCTTCTCCCCTGACAATCCCAAGAAAGTAACACATCCTAATTCCAGACACAGCGAATCCTTCCTAGGAAACTAATGCCTTCATAAAGCAGTTGGCCTGAAGGACAACTAATAAAAAATAATATGCAAAATCAGAAATTTAAGATCTGGTAATATTAGCTGAGTGACATGTTTTAACATTTGAGCCTTAGCTTTCTAATACGTATTGTAAATATTAAAAAAAATCTACTTATAGTTTCTTCTGGAGGATTAATTGGAATAATGGAAGTAAAACACATACCAGAGTCTGGCACATAGCAGGAGGTGAAAAGGCATATAAAAATTGCATTGTACTGGTGTCAAAACCAGACAGGAGCATGGCACACATTCGCTCTGTCTCTGTGTCTCTGTCTCTGTCTCTGTCTCTGTCTCTGTCTCTGTGTCTCTGTCTCTGTCTGTCTCTGTCTATCTCTATCTCTTTCTCTCTCTCTCCCCCGTTCCTTTCTCTCAAAAACTAAAAACTATATACCAACATACCTAAGGCACATATTTGTAAGAATTCTAACAGCATACTAGAAAGTAGAATACGGCAGTAAATGAAAGATCATTCATCATGATCAATTAGATTTATCCCAAGGATACAAGTTTGGCTCAACACATGCAAATCAAAAAACTGAATATAGAACAACAATATAATTAAGGATGAAAAAATTCATATGATCATTTCCACAGGTATAGAAAAAGCATTTGATAAAATTCAACATCCCTAAATGATGAAAACTGAATAAATGAAGTATAAGAGGATCTCCCTCAACATAATTAGGGCTAGACGTGACAAAACCACAGGCAATATCACACTAAGTACAGAGAAGCTGAGGATATTTCTTCTAACAAAAGGAACAAGAGCAGGGTGCCTATTCTCATTACTCTTATTCATTATAGTATTAGAAGCCCTAGCAAGAGGAAATGAATAAGAGAAAGAAATGAGTCATACAAACAAAAAGGGACAAAGTAAAATTATCCCCATTTGCAGACAATATGATTCTAGGTACAGAAAATCCTAAAGGTCCACCAAGACTGTTAGAATTGATAAAAGAATCCAGTAAAGTTAAAGAATAAAAATATCACCACACAAAACTCAATAATTTTTTTTTGTTCATTATTAACAAGCATATGGAAAGCCAGGCATGAGTATACAGGCTTATAGTCCCAGTACTCTGGAGGGCTGAGGCAGGAAGATTCCAAGCTGAAGTCCAGTCTGGGCAACTAAGTGACCTAGCTAGACCCTGCTCAAGATAAAAATTATAAAAGGAACAGGGATATAGCTTATTGTGAGGTCCCTGGGTTTAATCCCAAGTACTACAAAACAAATAAACAAACAAACAAATTTAGTGATAAACAAATCTTGAAAGCAGTTTCATATACAGCAGTTACAAAAGAGGAAGAGTATGAGGAGTAAGAGAAGGAGAAGCAAGAGGAGAAAAGGGAGCTGGAAGGAGCTAGTTCAGTGGTGGAGTACTTGCTTAGCATACATGAGGCCCAAAGTTCTATCTCTAGTATCACAATAAGCAAACAAACAAACCAATGTACCAACCTAGGAATAAATTTAACCAAGAAAACAAAAAGCTCCACAAGAAAAATTACAAAATACTGAGGAAAAAATTAAAGACACAAAAATTTCTGCTTAGGTGTTATGGTTTGCATCTAGTTGACCCCCAAAGCCTCATGCAGTCATGTGGAGGCTTCCAGAGTTTGTGATTAATTAAAGCTCTAATGCTGAGATTGTGGGTGTGCATGCTTCATGTGCCCTGGGGCAATAAATTTGCATCACAATGTTAGGAGGGGAGAGAGGTTAGCTAGCCACTGAAGCCACTGCCCCTCCCTTTGTTCTTTTTGCTGTCATAAATGGCTGCCTTCTGCAGTGTACCACTCTGCCTTGGAGCCAGCTGAGTGTGGACTGAAACCTCCACTAACTGTGAGCTAAATAAACCTTTCTTTCTTAACTTTGGGTGTCAGGTATTTTGTCCCAGCAATGAGAGAAAAGTAACTGAGTCATCAGAAGTTCAAATTAGTATTGTAAAAATATCCATACTACCTAAAGCTATTTACAGATTCAGTGGAAATGCAGAAAACCACTAGTGATGTTCTTAAAAAAACTAGAAAAACAATGTAAAATTCAGATGGAAGCACAAAAGACCCTGAATAGCTAAAGCAACGTTGAATAAAAAGAACAAAGCTGGAGGCACTATGATATGTCATTTCATTTACTATAGAATTATAGTAACTAAAACAGCATGGTACTGGTAGAAGAACAAACATATATACCAAAGGCACAGAAGAGAGGTCCCAGAAATAAACCTGTGAATCTATAATAAAGTGATTTGAACAAAGGAACAAAAATCATATGTTTGGAAAAAAGGATAGACTCTTTGATAAATTATGCTTGAAAAACAGGATATCCATATGCAGAAGATTGAAATTTGACTCTTATTTCTCACTCTATACAAAAATCAACTCAAAATAAATGAAAAGACCTAAATATAAGGCCTGAAACTATGAAGCCACTACAAGAAGATGTAAGAGAACTATTTGAAGGCATAAGCATAGGAAATGGTTTTTAAGAAATGCCCCTAACAGTACAAGGAACAAAGGCAGAAATAGACAAACTGGATTACAGCAAAGCAAATAGAAAAAATTTACAGCAAGTAGAAGAAAATGAGAGAAAATGTTTGATAGTGATTTATCTGACAAAGAATTAATATCTAGAATACACAAGAAAATAAAAAGCTTGACAATAAAAAACCAAATAATCTAATTTTTAAAAATGGGCAAATGAAACAAACTAGACACACATGTGTAAAAATAAACCAGACCCACATGTGTAAATATCATATTGTCTCCCTAGTG